TTTGGCTCGGACTCTTCCTGCCATTTCATCTGTTCATTAACATTCAGTGCACTTGGCTGTGCTGCTGCCTCTCCTCAGACAGGGAACCCAGATGACTCTTGCTGCTGCGAGAGGGTGGCGCTCTGAATATCCAAATGTAAGAATGGGCCCACTGGGAGAGACTGTTTACAAACGCACACAACGTAACATAAGGAGTGCTCACACAGCACATGGCACAACGCTGGTGAACTGCCTGTGGGAAGTGACCTTAGGGAATTTGAACAGATGAATTAAGATACCTTGATTGTTAGATATATTTTTTTTAGCTAATAATCAAAAGCAAAACTCTTCTTTTTGGTAAATACAATTGTGGTCAAATAAATTTGCAAGCCAAAATGACTTTAGGAAAAGCATAGGATATGGGGAGATTTATACGTATAAATACACTCTCCAATTCAGTTCAGCTGATATGGTTTAATTTAAGAAATGGAACCTTTAAATAACAGCAAGAGACTCGAGCATTCGCCCATACCGTTGTGACAAGACAACTTTATAGGACTCTTTTATGACTATTGGCATTTCTTTGATATTGCAGAGTTGTTTGTTACCTTTCTTTATGGAAACCCTCCAAAGCAATTTGTCCAAATTGCTTTCCTGAAAGTGTTGCAGCATTTTTGCACTGCCGTTCCATTGTGTTTTCTGAAATATTACACGCAGACAATTCACTAAATTCATCTCTTAACTTATTCATTGGGTTGCCAAGGCAAAGATGAACCTGGTGAGACTGTTTATCTGTGAAAAGGAATAACTCCAGACCAACTCCTCATTGACACTTTCTTGGCTTTCAAACTAGCTCAACATTGATTCCTTCTTTCTCATCCTCTGGCATATTATTTATCTTTCTTTTCCCTCACTTTTCTCTCCCTCCCCATCGTTCAATCACTTGCTTGTATTATTCTAATCACTTTTTAATCTCCTCTCTTCCTCCAGCATTTTGTAGCCCAGGCGTATCGAGCCAGCTGCCCTACAGGATTCAGATGTCCCCGTTTTCCCTTCCAACAGGTGAGCCCCGCTAACAATCACAATTTTTGTTTCTGTGCCTAAAGTTTGCAGCCAGTTTCAACATTCGTCTCTGAGTTTATGTCCAATTGTAATTTGCGTGGGAGTCTGTGCATGCATGCCACAGCTGCGACTTGGTCCTCCATTGTTTCTTATTCCATGTCATTGAACTGTCAGCTTTTATTAAACATAAAGTGCAGCTATTGCGAAATACATCTTCCTCAGTAGAGATTAAACAATCCTCTGTGAGAATGACACTAAATATAAGTCACATTAGATTGGAATGCGCTGCACACATTTGTATCAGAAGTGCAAATATGTGTGTCTGTACGCTTGTGTTTTGAGCGTGTATGTCACCGCGTGTGTGCACTAGTCTGTAAAAACCTGCCGCACGCTATATAATTGAATATGGGGAAAAGGGTTTTATTTGTCCCGGTGTCACTGCTGATGGATGCCTCTCATAAAACAAGCACAATCAGGGATCATCCTTCCTCCCACTCCTTACACTTCCTCTCCATCATATTGTATTCCCTTTGCCCAACCCTTACTCTTATTTCTCTCCTTTTCATTCTTTGTTGGCACTTACTAGTGGTGTCACAGTGAATTTCATGCTGCCACATGTGTCTATTCTGTCCTAGTTGAGAGGGAGGCAGGCTTTAATTATAAGTCCTATGACCATCACAAGGCAATAAACAATGGCATTTTAGAACAGGCGGCTGTTTGATCCGCTCCACCATCATACTTACATCATTTTCTACTTTTGGAAGATTATACATTATGCATCGTGAGGATATGAGAAGAGGTGCTTTAAGGCCACGGTATTGTTATATTATTTTTCAGTGGTTTGCTAACAGTTGCTGTGAATTTCCTCAATGCTTTGAGTGTTAGGCTTTGGATGTTGACCTTCTGTTCGTTGAACGTGTCTCACCCTGTGTGTGTACATCTTCAACTATTGTGAAACTAACACAGAACTGAGGTCATGTATTCCAACGGAGGGTGAAAGACGGACAGTAACGGACTCGTGCCCCCTTGCGATTATTACATTTGTCACCACCAGATTATGAATTTGCTAGATTTTTCCTGCGGGCAGCCGACCTTTCTGCCCTCGATGCTCTCAGCCAAACATCTGCTGTACTGGTGGCTTTTTAGCTATACACAAAATGTATATAGTTGAACGCATAAGTCCCACAACAAATGTAATATGTTATATAAATATGCTAGTGGCTAAAATTATGCACATAGAGTGTAAAGTGCAAGGTGTTACAAGCCCAGTATAAACAGCTGTGTTAATGTAAAAAGAGTTTGAGGTGTAGGTTAAAAAACTTGTTCTGTGTACACCGACAGAAACAGCCATGAGAAGAACATCCATGCCAATCTGCTAAAGTTCAGCCCATGTTCCAGATTGAACAGGACTGTTATAAAATTGCTGCATTACAACAAGAATGACCGAATGACTCAAAGGACGAGGATGTGAGGACACCAAAAAAACGAGTGGCTATGATGTGCATGCTTAATTTGAATGGAGTGCATTTGTCATGGCCTGTACAAAGCTTTGAATATAGCAAATCAAAATGAAAGCTAAATACAAGACCAACTATTAAAACCCAGCGGGTCAGGACAAATCGAGTAAGGGCAGAGGATCAAAGCTCTAATGATCATCACACATGCTGATATTCAGTGGTGTAAAATAACTTCTTTGAGATGTGAGGACCTCAAACAAATCTTCACTCACCTCTACTGCATTGGGATAGAATCATGCCAAGGCAAAACATTAAAACAAAAATAGAAATGCTTATACATCATTGAGGGTAATTCAGAAAATGAATTGTCCCCAGCTAAGTAAGCGACTGTGATCACAGTCTAAGGTACTTTTCACCCATCCAAACTTCTATAGATATATCACTTCTTGCTCTGTTGTTAGCTGTGACGGAGAAATAAAAAAATGCATCAAGTGTGATCACAACAATCCGACTGTTACTCATACTGTCCTATTGCCAGCTTATCAGCCACCAAAAGGTGCAAAGATGACGCTAATTGTGTGTCTTTATTGATGCGGCGCTGTTATTTTAAACAAAGCTATTTAAACACAGCAGTAAAAATCTCACAGTTTTATTGTTATTAATGTGCCTGAGAGCAAATATTGAGGGCATATCTTTGAATCATCTTATTTTCCAATGAGCGTTTGTTAGTGTATCTGCGTGTAGCCTCCACCTTCAAAGCTTGCTTAATCTTCTCCATATTAGGACTATCTTTAGAAAATGTGTGTGGTCATTTAGATCCATAACTTGTCATTACTGTGTGTCAAAATCCAATCCACGATGGGGGTGTCTTTATTCGTGCTGAGGGTTTCCTGCATGTGTCTGTCTTTGATGCATCCTACATCTGAAAGGTAAGAAAAACACTAAGAAAGAACTCTAAATCCGGCCCTCCTTCACCTTGATCAGCAGTTGCCGGAGGGGCCCATTTCTCCGTTGTCTTCAAACAGATAGTCTAATAGCTGCTCCAAGGACACACATTTCACGCTGTCTCCTTCTTTCCTCCTCTCTCTTTTTAGTGAGGCAGAAACGTGCCTTGTTGTGGTGGAATGAGTAAAGATTTGACTGAGGCGATGAAACCCATTATTATTATTTAACAAAGCTTTTGAAAGTTACACGGCACAATTGCCTCGTTGAACCAAATTAGAGGGAGAGGAACAACAGAGAAGTGAACCATGGTGCAGAAAAAAGAGAAGAGGAAAAGAGCCAACTCGTTTGAAGAGGCTTTCTGTTTTCTGCCTGGAAGATGATTTGAGTCCTGAAACTCAAGAATAGATGGTTGGAAGTTTAGCTTCGAGGATCTACACATGGATTAATGATGTGCTCCTATGGGAAGACAATGTAAAGAACAGCAACTCTGAGAAACCACATGTAGTGACAGTTTCTCTCCTCATGTCTTTACATACTAAATGAGTACAAATGCTTCCTGGAGGTGCAGAGAAGCACACACAGATCTACATATAGCTCACAGCAACATGGAACACATCCACCCACCCCTTCAGATTGAAGACAGAGCAGATGAAGGCACAGGAAGCGAGTGGTGAGGTAGTTGGAGAGAAGATAGAGGAAGGGGAAGGGTGCCGAATAGATTGTTTCAAAACATTCTTTGTGATTATCTGATACTTTGATTTGGTTTATCTGAGCGTTTCTGCAGCTTGCATATTAAACAATTTGTTCAAACACCAACTCATTGTTTGTTAGAATTGTATTATCACTTGTTTTTGCTTTATTCAGTTCCAAAAACATATATACGGAGCTTGTTATTGTTGCGAATTTGAGGAAAAGTTTTGAGTTAAGTGGTGATATTCTCCTATATATTCCACTTGTTTGGCTAAGACCATTCAATTAAGTCCTTATTATGCTTTTTTTAGTTATCCGTTTCCTGTAGTGTGTTATATCGATTTTTTCTTCAAGGGGCGGTACATCTCTAAGTAGTTGACCAATCACAACAGAGCCAGCCAGCTAACTAATCAGAGCAGACTGGGCTCTGGTTTCAGACAGAGGGTTATCGAAGAAAAAAAAATAAAGCACTTTTTGAACATAACATTATGTAAACATGACACAGGAGAGGCACATTAGCATAATAAGGGTTCTTTAATTCTCACTCAGCTACACTGGCTTCCTCTACGCTACCGTATTGACTACAAAAACATTCTACTCATATACAATGCTCTCCATAAACTAACCCCCATCTACATCACCGACCTCCTTCAGCAGTACACCCCCTCCCGCACCCTCCGCTCTTCGTCCGTAGGACTTCTCACCGTCCCAAGCTCTCGCCTCAGCACCATGGGTGCTCGAGCTTTCAGCTGCTCGGCTCCCAGACTCTGGATCTCCCTGCTACTACACATCCGAGAGTCTGATTCCATAACAACATTCAAAATCCACC